GTTTTTCATGTTTTGTTTCTCCCTTGTTTTTATGCAGTTGGTTAATTGGGAGATGATGGGTGCCGTGTTCATTCAGTAGATACAACAGTTTTGTTTAGTGACCAAACCCTCTTCTTCCTCTTTTTCTCCTCTTCCTCCTGGGGCCAAATTCTCATCTTCCTCGTCTTCCTTCTTGTCTCTTCCTCTTCTTCCTCCTCCCTCTTTCTCGTTGTCTTCCTCCTGTTCTTCTCTTCCTATTCCCCCCTCTTCCTCCTCCTCCTCCTCCTCCTCTAAATTCGTCCTCTTGTTCCTTCTCTTCCTCCTTCTATTCCACCACCCTCTTCCTTCTCTTCCTGAACTTTCTTCTTCACTTCCTCTCCTCCTCCTCCTCCTCTTCCACCTCATCACTTCCCCTTCTATTTCTACCTCCTCCCTCCCTCCTCCTTTTTTCTCTTCCTTCCTCCTCTTCCTCTTTTTCCTTTACCTCCTCTTCCTCTTCTCATTCTCCTCTTTTCCTCTTTCTCCTCTACTTGTTCCTTTCTCTTTTTCCTCTTCTGCTTCCTCTTTCTCCCCTTTTTGTTCCTCCTCCTTCCTCTACCACCTCCTCTTCCTCCTCCCCCCTCCTTCTCTTCCTGCACTTCCTTCTTCATTTCCTCTGCTTCCTCTTCTCTTCTTCCTCATCTTCCTTCTCTTCTGTACCTCCTCTACTTCTTCTACCTCCTCCCTCTCTTCTCTTTTTTCTCTTCCTCCTCTTCCTTCCTCCTCCTCTCCCAGGTGCCGATTCGTCCGAGAAAGGGACCGGCTTGGCAACCAGTATCCCAGCCTGCATTACCCAGAGCTCTACATCCTCAAAGGGGGCTACAAGGACTTCTTCCTCAAATGCAAGGTAAATGTCACACACACACACACACACACACACACCATTTGAGGGCGTTCGCACCATCCCTGATGGTGGCCATTTGAGGTTGGGGAAAACCAGTGGAAGGCAAGATGCGGCTGATACTAATTCAGAAGGACAGAAGGCAATCACTGACTTGGCAGGAAGGGACACAGGAGGTCTTCTAGTCCACCCCCCTGCTCAAGCTGGAGACCCTTCTCTCCCCCTCCCCCCCCCCCCCCTAACCCTGATGATGTTCCCTAGTTGGGTCACGAGACGTCTCTGAGAAAACCACCGAGCTCAGAGAGCACCAAGGACCTCACTAGCTCAATCCTGAGTGACACATATTTCTCTTCTATCAGCTTTAACTTTTACATGGCCTCACCTCACAGCCCATGATGGTTTGTCTGTGTTTGGCATAGCGGCGAAATCTGCCATTGGGGGAGATTGCCGATGCCGGTTTAGTGTTTCTCCCAAAGCCAGTTTTGAATTCTTTCTCTTCTCTCTTTCTCTCCCTCCCTCCCTCCC